AGAACGCCTTGGCAAAGCTTCAATGCTATGAAGTGGTTTTTCTCCCAAATAATGCCCACGGTTCTTGTATGTCTTGGAGGCTTATATAGCCACGAAAATAAGCCCTAAGACCTAACTTGAACCCCAATAAATCTATTTAACTAGGTAATAGAATCCTAATTGATTTCTACTTCTATTCTAGATAAGTACAAAAGATACCTAACTAGAATAAAATACATGGAAATAAATCTAATTCCTAATAGAAGTATATAAGAATAGGACTCTAATAAATTCCAAAATAAATATGGAAAACAAATCTTTGCCAATCTTTTAATTCCAAAACTCGGCGGATTTCCTCGATCTTCAATAGTCGGAAATCTGGCGCCAACAAGTTTCATGGATCGGATGCAGTGGTTTCGGAAGAGTATGTAACGAGTCCTAGAAAGTTGTTATGAAACTTTTTGTTGAGAAGGGCATGGATGAAAGGGTGTTTGGGAAGATGTTTCGGCTATGCACCATGATTTTTCGATGACATGTTGATGGCTGGAGATCGATGTGTGTGTGTGTGTGTGTGGAAGGACAACACTTCAAAAAGATATTTCTATTATAACTAAAAAAATCTTCCCAGTAGCTGTGTGTGTGTGGTAGGACTGAGTCTTCTTCACAATAATTAAACAAGTAGTCTACCGTGAATTTACGCTTGTGTGAGTCGAGTGAGTCTACTTCAAAAGGGCAACACCACACCAATCACCATCCGAGCTAGAACAACAACTATCGTCATGATTAAGGAAATGGTGGAGTAATTTCCGTCACATTATATTGTACTGATTTTTTTGGAGAAAAAACAAATAAATCACCATCTCATCACTTCTTGTTTATGACCCAATCTAAACTTATGTACCTCATCCTTCAACTTCCGTCGCAAACATTATGACTACTTAATATCAGACTCCGCCATTTTTAAATGTTCTGATGATGCAGACAAATCTTTGTATAACTTCATTCCTTGCCTTATTGATCCCATCAACAAATACTATATTTTTTATAACATACAACAATTGACTTCTTGTACAAATATTCGTGATATTTCAGCTGTTCCTTGGGGTATATTCGATAAAAACGGCTTCCGTTTGGAGTGGTTTGAGCCAACATGTGGGCACTGTGAAGCTCAAGGCAAACGAACTTGATAGTATTCATTGTATCGACAAACAACCAACCACAAATCATCATGGTACGTTTTATCTCATCCCATTTTTCTCAATTGGAGCTTATTCAATTTACTACCTCTGTGAAAATCGCAACTCCGCGTTTCCCCCTGTCATAAAAAAATTAGCGAAAATTCCCCTGTATTTATTTTTAAGACAGCATACTCAACTCATTTAAATTTTCTCCATTGGAAGGTTGTAAAAGGATCGAAGTACCTCGGAGTTTCTGAAAAAAACGAGGGGACCAAATTGCAGTTTTGAAAAACTTAATCAAATAAGTCAGGGGACGTAATTTTCCGAAAATACATAATATTTATAAAATATTATGTATCTCATTTTTTCATATTTTTATAAGTACCAAATATTGCTTTATAAATATTTATAATTTAATAAATTTAAATCAAAGAAAATGCAATAAAAATATATTAAAAAAAACTTATTAAAAAAAAGAAGAAAAAGATGTTGGGGCAATTCCGTCATTTCACACAAATAATGAAGAAAAGTCGCAGAACCCACGAGTGAGACCCACGATTTGCGAGGGTAAACAGCATAAAACCCCCTTGTGTTATGATCACAAACCTGCACCAAACCCCCGTGTGTTCTTGTTACTGCGTAAAACCTCATTGTGTTTCATTTTTTCTTGCATGAAATCCCCATTTCCGTTAATAGTTAAAACCGTGAACTATAAAGGGGATTTATGCAAGTTTAATGTAACATAAAGGGGGTTTGGTGCATGATTTTGCAACACAAGGGGGGTCTATGCATAATTAATTTATTGATTAAAATTCAATTATTTTCTTAATTTAAGTGGAATATATTATATATTAATTTAAAATATGAAAACTTAAAAAATAATATTCGAGATGGAAGTTGGAAAGAATTCTCAAATTATTTATGTTCTTTTCACATATAATTAATCCAGAATAAATTATAAAAAGATATAGTAATTCTAATAAAATTATATATTTTAAAAAATTAAAAAAATTAAATACATTAATAAATTATATCATATAATTTTTTTTTAAACATTCACCATGTACACCTATTAAATTTCTATTTTTCATATTGTAACTCAATTAATGTGCTTGAATTAATTTAAGAAAATAATATGAAATTTAAACGAATATATTAGTTATAGGGTAATTGGCACTTTGCACCCTCCAAATCAGTGTTCTAAATATCGGTCGTGGCGGTCGATATATCGGTCACCATATCAGTGGCGGTCGTAAACCTTTACGATATTAGTGAGGCGGTTTGAAAAATCGGTTTTTGGACGGTGAGGCGGCGTGTGACGACTTAAGGCGGGTCAAACCGATACACCGGTCAATAAATCGGAAAAAAATTCTTTTTTTTTTTAAATTGAAAGGAATACATGGTAGGGTTTTTTAGCTTGTATATATCAGTTTGTGGTTCATCGGAAATTGTATTTTTACACAAAATGATTACAAACTAGAGCACATTCCATGGAATCTAGATGATTATGTTGAATTTGGCACCATAAGGGTGGAGGTGTAAGAAAAAATCATAGATGAGGGGGGTAAATGTAATTATCCAAACAAGAGGGGGGTTTTTGTAATTTGACCATACCTCAGGGGGGTGTTTGTAATTTACCCCAATTTATTTTAACAAAAATCGTGTTTAAATATCTTTTAGTATATATTTTGAGTATTTACAAATAATATTTTGAAATATATTACACTAAATTTAAAAATCGATTCATTTTCGATATATCTCCGATTAATACCGTCGCGCCAATTTATCGTGTGGCGGTCCTTAACTGCCTCAGACCCGATAAACGCTTTTTAGAACCTTGCTCCAAATACACCCATTTGGCACATTGCACCCTTAAATTGCAAATTTGGCAATTTGCACCCTCCAATTAACATTTACTTGGCAAAATGCACCCTCTGGCCCCTTCGGTTGAAATTTAGCTGGAAAAACTATTTGGATGGAAATGAAAAACAATGGTGTCGAAATCTGGAGCCTTGATCACTATTTTGTCATTTCTTTTTGTGGGTCAATACAAAAGGCTATTTGGGTCCATGACTACTGTTACAATCATTATGTCTGTCCTGGGAGTTGGCAAGGTGCCGAACTTGAAGGGTGGAGACACCTTTAGCAGTAGAGGTGGTGGTGGCGTTGGCGTATTTTGAAATTGTAGATGAGAAACGTCAATTTCAATGTCTGGGTCTCTGATTTTATGCTAATTTTTTTCTTTTTTCTTTTGGGTGTAATAGAAACTCTTGGAAATCTACAGCTGCTTCATTCCAAGAAAATGGATTAAAACTCATAAAGAAGAGAGCGGTCAGAAGAGCTCGTGAATGCAAAAGGAAAAAATAGTAGTATGACATTGAAGTAAAGTGGGGAATATGGGGAGTAAACTGCAAAAAGTCCCCCTATGTAATCTCTAAATAGCAAAAAACCCTTGTGACAAATAAACTAGCAAAAACCCCCATGTGAAATTTAGTCAAAGGCAAAAGACACCCCGGTTGACTTAAGTGTGGCTCACTCGCGGGTTGCGCGACTGGTAGTTGGTTTTTGGACGTGAAATGACAAAATTGACCCTAAAAATGTATTTATATGTATATATATTATATGTATATATATTTTCCTTTTAATTTGATTGTTTAGAAATTAAAATATTGTTAAAAAATAGTAAATAATTAAATTTAAAAATTATTAAAAAAAATTTAATCAAATTAAGTATAGATTTTTTTAAATACATAATAACGGAACTTAAGTTTTCTTTTGATGTAGCGAAAATTTAAAATATATACAAAAATTATGTGATAATAAAAATAAAAATAAATTAAAGACCCATTATACCTTTATAATTAAGATATAACACAAATAAAATAATTAAAATATTTAAAAAATATAAGAATTTATTAATTGCAAAATTTCAGGGGTATTTTTGTCTTTTTATATGAAATCAACCTTCGAATGATAAAAGGGCCGAGTGTGCTATTTAAATAATTTCACAGGGGGGTTTTTGCTAGTTTATTTTCTCATATGGGGGTTTTCGCTATTTAGAGATTACACAGGGGTACTTTTTGCAGTTTACTCGGAATATGGGATCGGAAAAAAAAAATGCTAAAAAAAAAGCATGCCAGAAATTGATAAAAATGTGTTTTCGATCAATTGGAGGCGCCAGAAAGTTAATGATGGTGCATTTTGCCAAGCAAATGCTAATGATTGGAGGGTGGAAAGTGTCAAATTTGCAATTTAAGGGTGCAATATGCCAAATGGATGTATTTGGAGGATGCACAGTGCCAATTACCCCATTTAAAAACAAATGTTTGAAATACTATCGTTTATGTATGTGGTAAACACTTTTTTGGTAGAAAATACACATACCCAAATACTTGTGAAATTCGTGATTATAATGACTAGATTCTAATGAATATGTTTTTGTAGATCGCCTCTTTCATCTTGTGACATATCTTCCTATAGATTGACTGTTAAAAAACGAAATTTGGCCAGTTTTTCCGTTCCTTTCATTATGAACGACATAATAATAAACTTAATATTTTTCTGAAATGAAAAGGTTATAAATTTGATATATTTCAATTACTCTCTTGGTTTCTGCACATCGGCAACTTGGCCAAACATCCTTTTGGCTCGACAACATCCTTTTGGAGATTTGTCAGATCTCCGCCTTGTTCGTAGTTGTCTTCTTGTTCTTTTGTGCCCAATTTTTGTCCCCCTTAATGTTGTAAGAAATTGTTGCTTTTATAGGTCTTTCTTGATAAGGAAGTATTAGAAACTTAATAGGACTCAATTTTGATAGGTGACAATTACCAACGACATCACACGTAGATGATAAACAAGTAGGCAATAGCCATATCTGCACCAACATGCGTACATGTGTATCGGTGAAATCAAAATTCATAGTAAAATTACATAACAATAACACATTACTTAGCAATAAAATCACAGAAACGGAACGAAAGTACCTCAACAATTATTATTCTTAACCAACGTACGTGTGACTAATCATATAGGTCTGAAACAGATAACCGAGGACTTGGAACAGCAATCAACGGTGTACCTTTCCTTAGGACAATCCCAAACGCCTCCGACATATCAAGTGTTTCCCCTTGTCCTAATTTCCAATCGAACGAATGCAAAAATGAAGCCAACAAATACATCAACATTCTCTCTGCAAGGGGCATCCCGGCACAAATCCTTCTTCCCGATCCAAACGGTAGATAATGAAAATAGTTACCTCCATAATCACATTTCTCAATCTTGTCGTCAAGAAATCTCTCCGGCCTAAATTCCAATGGCTTGTCCCAAATCGAAGGATCTCTTTGGATAGACCGAACATTTATAAAGACTGTAGTATTCTTCGGGATTGTATATCCTCCGATGGTGGAAGATTGCGAAGGAGACCTTGGAATCAAGAGAGGTATTGCTGGATGCAACCTCATTGTCTCTTTTATAATTGCTTCCAAATATTTCAATTTTGGAATATGAAGCTCTTCAACAATGTCGTTCAATCCCACTACTTCCGATAATTCTTTCTGAGCCTTCCTCATCGCAGCCGGGTTATTCATAAGTTCGGCCATTGCCCATTCAAGTGTTATAGCCGTAGTGTCGGTCCCCCCTATCACTGTATCCTAAAATTCGACAAAACAAATCTTTTGAATGAGGTAAATTACTAAATAAAACGCTGAACTAAGGTTTAATTACCAAAAAACCCCTCAATTACCAAATATCCAAATATCCGCTCTGATACAAAATGGTCATATTTAAAGAATAAAAAAACAATAACCCTTGTCATGAAATAAATATTACAATTCCCCCCCTAGGGTAAAGTTGGTATTTTGTGAAGAATTTGCTATGTCAAAATTCGCACGAAAACAAACTGCAGTGGGGTTTTTGGTAATTTTTTTTGGTTTTCTTGCACTAAAATGAACTTAGTTCAAGGGTTTTCTCAAATAAATGTTATATACTAATCTACGATTAATTTCTACCTGAATTGTAACTTTAGAGTAAGGTACGTACCATAAATATTGCCTTAATTTGTCTGCGACTGATTGACATCTCTGAATCTTGCTTATTTTGAATCTCCAACAAGATTTGGAGAAGATCTTTCTTCCCTTCTTTGATTTCTCCGGATAAATTCCTTTCGTGTTGGGTAATAACGGTTTCGAAAATCTTGTCGACAATTAGCATATAAGTCTCCATCTGTTTCTTTACTCCTTGAATATCAAGCCCAGCAAGAAGTGGAAAGAAATCAGAAATATTCGGCTTTCCGAACAAATCAACAAGTTTCGGTGCCACGGCCAGAAACTCAGATGCAATTCTTTCGCCTTCTTCGCCTTCAAATTTCCCACCCCACAACATGTTCATCATGACCTTTAGCTCGGTGCGAAAAATCAACGGTCCGATTTCGACGGTCTTTCCAATCTTAGCGTGGACTTGTCTAACTGCCGTTCTAACCTGGTCCCTGCGAAGATTATAGGATGCATCGAGACTTTTGGCATTCATCATCTCTTGAGCGAATATTTTTCTCATCGCTCGCCACATGGAACTGAGCTCGGAAAAAACGACGTCGTTCGCCCCGTAAGTGGCAACGATTGCTACAGCGGGAATGTCGCGGTTAGCGAAAACAGAGTCTTGATCGCGAACAACCTCTTTTACGAGTGATGGTGAGTTTATCACAACACAGAGTTTGTTACCGAGATATAGACTGATTATCGGACCATATTTGTGTCCCAATTCTGTGAATTTTTCGAATAGATTGTTGCCGAGAAACGGCAAATATCCGAGGATTGGAAGCCCGAGGGGACCAGGTGGCAGGGGAGGATTTTTTCTTCTTTCTAGTGAGGTTTTGATGTACCATAAAATGGACATGAACAAAATTGAGATTGAGAAGGTTGCTACTACATACAGCCCATCCATTGTTACTTTTCTTTTGTTTCTTCTTTTGGGCTACTTATCCAACTGGTTGGTTTATATGTAGATATATATGTAGTTGATATAAAGTGAAACAAAACATGCAATAAATCATGACGGAAAAAATACAGTTTCGTCCCTCACATCTGCACCGATTTCACATTTCGTCTCTCATGTTTCACAAAAAAACACATTTGGTCCTTCATATTTCAAATATTGAACAATTTTAGTCATTTCCGTTAATTTTCCGTGAAACTGAACAATTTTAGTCATTTCCGTTAATTTTCCGTGAAACTAACAAAATCGAGGGTGTGCCCATTACTGCTTTAAATGATAAACTAACGGTAAATTGACGAAAATGACCAAAAGTGTTCAATTATTGAAACATGAGGGATCAAATGTGTAGTTTGCAAATAGGGAAACCAAACCTGAAATTGGTGCAAATTTGAAGGATAAAAACTGTAATTTTTCCAAATCATGAATCCTGAAACATGGAAAAATATGATATCTACATTAATATATGTTTTATATGGTTTTTGAATCATCGATTTCTAATAAATCATAAATGAAACTTGCGCCAACCTCCAGATAATGAGCATCTGGTAGTTGAGATTATTTAAGCCATGGTTAAATATCGTGTTTGCAATTTGTATGACTTTCATTTATGACCAGTCATTAATTTGTGCTGTATTATTGATCTGACGTCTAATTCAAAGTTACTTAATTTTATATATTTTAGAAAAGTTTATAGATTGAATCTCGAACAGTCGGCCAGGGACGGAACCGGGATTTTTTGGTTTCAGGGACCGGAATTTTAAGAGGGCTAATGAAAATCAAAGGGGGAGGCGGGTTCTGGGACAGAGCCCCAAAATTCTTTTAGGGGTATTTGTGAAGAAAACAATGGAAATAAGTAATTAGTTATAAATATTATTGTCAAAAAAATATTTATACACATTAATAAAACAAATTAGAATACATAGAAATTCGATAGATTGAAAACTTAAAACATTGAGAAGAAAGAAAAAATATCTTGTTTTATATTAATTATTTTAATCGTGGATTTTAATGAGAATTACGGATTGAGATAGTGAAAAATATTTTATAGGATTGCTTTTAATAGAAAGTTAAATTTAAAAGATAGTGTGGTTTAGGTCTCTTGTATGGTTTACAAATTATTATACGAGAGTGTAAGTTTATCTAATGCACCTATACGATTGGCTGCAAGATCTTTCAGTACCAAAATAAATAAATAAATTTAAAAGGTAGAAATAAAAATTTATTTTTTAAAGGTCATACATAAACATTTGTAAATAAAATAAAAAAATGTATATATAATAATTGATAAAAGTCAACATACCAATCAATTATTATTATTGTGTATATATATAATAGCAGTGAAATATTGTTTTGGGGACCACAACAGCTCCCCTTGCCCCTTCTAAGTTCGTCAATGGTCGTCCCCACTTGTTTAGATGATTATTTGTTCAAAAATATCTCAAAGTTATACTTTTCTCGTATGACACATCACTGAAGTGCGAACTACATTTACACTCCAGGAGTTGCAATGTTAGAATGTAATAACTACATGAATCTATTTTGTGGCTGAAAAGATATAAGATAAAATATGGAAGACAATCATGTAAATAAGGCCAGATCAAGCGTGATGAAATCTGGGGGGGGGGGCTTATGATAGGGTCAGTTTGGCACATATGAGCCGGACTCTCCATATTCAGATTAATGGGTTAAAGATCCAAGCGGGCCATCAACTCGCTCAATAAAACTAAAAACCAACTTACCAATAAAATGAAGAGTCGGGCATCACAACGGCGGGATTGATAACCCGTGATCGGTGAACAATTAAAACAACTTAAATATCAATAATAGTCACTTACGTTTTTTGGAGAACAATTAAAACAACTTAAATATCAATAATAGTCACTTATGAACTCTCTTTTTTTATATATCATTTTCCGCCCGTTTAATTTATCTTCTCAGGCCAAATACCGGTGTGAGGTGGATATTTCGGCGGTCAAGGAAATAGGGATTGAAAGGAGGTCTTGAGGGTGTAGATTTTTCACCATCAACACGGTAAAAAATCTTAGTAAACGCGCTTGTCCAGGGTCTTGGAGAATAAGAATTATTCATGTCTCTAGCTAAGCGTAACGCGATCAACTTCGATGAACTACTACAACAAGAAGAAAAATACATTAATCTTGAGGATTGCCAAAATATTAGGAAGGAAGATCGCCCTAGAGAAGATAGACGAATAGAAGGGCGCGATGTTACATCCCTGCAAACTCGGATCAATAATCGTTTCAGTGGACATCACCCTAATCATCGGGGTGTATTAGTAGGGATCCAAAGCAGAGAAAAAGATGTTAGCTATACTCAATACGACAGCCAAATCCTTTGCCATGAGTAATAAGACCCAAAGAGGGGTGAACGCTTGAATTTTCCCTCACCATCTCGGTGTGACTCTTACGAAGAGCATGCGAAAGGATAAGGTTTTGTAACATATTTGCGAACATCCCATGTTGCGATAGCCTAAATTCTGATATGAGCCACCTAGAAGGGGATCCCAAGACAAGTATGTTCTGCACTTTCATAATTATCATGGTCACGAAACAAGTGCCTGCAACACATTGCGAGACAAAGTAGAGAGAATGGTTAGAGAATGACTAATCGCCTGGTACTTAGCGAAGTGGAAAAGGGAGGACCCACTCACGGGGATGAGGTGATCGAACCGCCCTCAAAGAGAGGATTCATCAATATGAGAGTGGGAGGACCCACTGACGGCGACAGTAATCGAGCGATGAGAAGTCGACTGGATTCAATCGGGAGGGGATAAATCAACCAAATATAGGAAAGTAAAAACCCCGTACCTACAATCGAATTTGGCCCAGGGGACTGCAACGCGCTGTATTCTCTGCATAACAACGCCTTATCGGTCAATGCTAACATCGAGGGTTACGATGTCTGGCTCGCTTTCATTGACACATGTAGTTTTGTTGACGTCTTATGTTATAATTGTTGTTACAACTAAAGTTAGATGCAAATAGTAAGCCGGTAACGACAGCAATATACGGGTTTTCTTTAGGGGCAGTTTGCCGAGTAGGACAATAAAGTTAATGGTGGTACTGGGAGCCCATCATTTAATCAAAATGCGGACGGTGAACTTCTTAATAGTAGATGCGATCTCCCAATACTGTATGATCTTCGCGCGACCCATGCTCACCACTTTTCAACTGGTTCCATCCACGTTTCACATGAAACATAAATTTCCAGTGGGATCACCAGTAGACAAGCTCACATGGGACCAACTAGAAGCAATGTCCTGTTATGTAGAGTTCATCCTTCATGGTGAGAAGACAACATAAGGACCAAAAGAAGAATTGGGGGACTCAAAACAAGACAAAATAGATACGGACGATAAGAAAGAGCATATTAAAGCAAGAGATGAGCTGATGAACATCGAAGTAATAGTAGAGCAACTTGACTGTGTCACATGGGTGAGAGCTAATCCTGACAAGAATTTCAGGTGCGACCTCTTTGAACTGTTGAGAAATAATGTTGATGTGTTCGCATGGAGACTAGAAGATCTTACCGACATCAACCATGAAGTCGTTGTCCATAGGTTATATATCTGCAAGGATGCGAGGCATGTTAAACATAAAAAGAGTCGATTTGGGGTCACTAAAGATGCAATTATCAAGGAGGAGGTGGATAGTCTTGCGAGTAGGACATATAAGGGAGATCCAATTCCCGACGCGGGTATCCAAAGCGGTACTTGTAGCGAAAGCCGAAGGCAAATGGCGGATGTGTATAGACTTCTGTAACCTCAATTTGGCGTGTCCTAAAGATCATTATCCTTTTCCCATGATAGAACAATTAATGGATGCTACTAAAGGGTGCAAGCTACTCAATTTGATAGACGCATCGCAAGTTTATCACCATATCAAACTTGAATCTATGGATAAACCTATGGTTAGCATCATTACCTCAAACAAAACATATTTTTATTAGGCTATTTTTTTTCATCAAAAATATGCGGGAGCTACTTATCAAAGGTTGGTAGATAAAGTCTTGGCAGCATAACTCAGATGCAATATATAATTGTATGTTGACGACATGCTCGTTTGACGATCTTAAGAAGGTCCTGACTAGCCTACCCCCATTCTCAACGCCGGAGGTGGGAGAACCGTTGTACATGTATATATCGATGGGCCGTCTATAAGCTTAGTGTTGTTTCGCGAGATGGGAAATAAGAAATGCCCAGTATACTATGTCAGCAAGATCCTACATGGTGTTGAGCTCAGATATTCGGAGGTGGAGAAAGTGGATTTCATTCTCATTACTACAGCTCGACGACTGTGGCCTTATTTTCTCTTCGACGCCGTCATTGTACGAACCAGCCACCCGTGAAGACAAACTTTGGTGAATGCCGAGGCCTTAGAAAGAATAGTGGAATGGGCCATAGATCTAGAACACTACTACGTAGAATACGAACCTCGTACCACCAAAAGAGGGCAAGCCCTCACTGATTTTATATATGAAGCTACATGCCTAAAGAAGGTTGTCGTGTATACGTAGTTGGGTCATCCACAATTCATTGGTCTAGAGCAGGTGTGGTACTGATTAGTCCCGAGGGAGAAAAACACGAGTTTGCCATAAAAATTTAGCTACCGAGCTTCCAATAATAAGGCCGAGTATGAAGCATTTGCCCGAAAAATGGGAGCCATAAAGGCTACGATTCACTCGGACTTGCAACTCATCATCCAACAATTGTTCAGGGCTATGAAGTGAAATAACCAAGGATGGAGGCTTACGTAGAACTGATCAACCAACGCATGGAGGAATTCGAGGAGTGCAACATTGAACAAACTCCCCGCGAAGCCAACGGACAACCCGACTTCATATCTAAGATCGGCAGTTCACCTACGGATTGTGGCGAATTTTTTCTTACTATTCTCCACACCACTCGGCAAATCTCCGATAAAAACCAAACCCTAGAAGAAATTAGGTCAAACATGAGGGATCAAAAGTGTAATTCTCCCAGGATCTGCATTTTGGAATAAACGAATTCTACGAGACACAGGACATATTCCACGTAAAAATTGATCCCTTTTAATAATCCCCACCTTCTATAATGATGGTCGGGATTCAAGTTCAGATCGAATTCCCTATGCAA